TCTACTAAATCACATCAACAAACGCTATTGCATTAAGAGTTGCAGTCTCTTGCCCTGGCTTTATTCATTTTCTCAATAAACCACTGGTTAAGAACAAATTTAATCTGCTTTGTCATCAAGGCTACAAATATAAAGGCTACAAACATCATGGTTATGCTTCAAATTATACAGAAAATGGGATCCATAACCAACCTGGTATGCATCAAGCTGTTGTGCTGTGAAGATGGTTTGTTTATTCCCCATTTCTGAGCCCTCAAGCTCCCAAACCACAGATCCATCTCTGCCTCAGCCTCCAGCAAAGGGTATTTATTAGGGTGGCCCTGTCAGATATGAAATAGCAGGACAAAAGGAAGCCAGAGCCAAAGAGGAGATCGGGTGTCGGGCTGCAGCCGGGCCCTTTGCTTGCCACCATAATGGCAGCATTTCATCGTTTGCTCCATTGTGAATAGCAGCCCCTCTGATAATGAATGAGAGCTGTCGTCCAGCATCATGCCAAGTGGTTTCAACCCCCTTTGGTGCCACTCTATGGCCAACGCCTCGCTCACTGCTCAGGTTACATTCTTTACAGGCAAGGTTTTGTAAAGCACTGAAAGAAACGTTGATGGCTGACAACAACATTGTCAATGTTTTGTCTCAGCTCCACATTAAAACCTTTAGCAGAACTGCAGAGTTCCCTCAGTTCGTCTGGGCAAAAAGCCACCAGCTTAGCGTGTGCTTTAACTTCTGTTCAGTTTTAACATGATCTGGATGCATTTTTAACACACTTTTTTTAACACACATTTTTTTCGCTTTCATCAATCTACATATGCATTACCTAATAAGGTAAACTAGCCTGAGTTATTTTCCTATTTCTACTCCCTAAGTACAGGAAGATCTACGGCATCGTGTTTGAGTGCTTGCATGTATTTTCTACTGAATCATGGAGTAAAAAAAGAAATCCAGATACTGAAAGTTGTGCAAACACAAAAAACCAAAGCATATTTCTTTTATATATCTCAAATCAATATGTAACTGAAAGCACATGAAGGAGGATAACATGAAAACAGATGGAAACAAGCCCTACATTTCTCAACTTCATCTCTGTACAGCCAACAGGAGACACTGATGCTCTCCTCCTGAGGTGTTGACCATCAGAGCAGGATATTTTTAGATGTTACTCTCCTGCTATGAACACAGAGAGGCTCAGGGTTTGGGTGGAACGCTTTAAAGCTGCATTTAGGGACTGATAAACCTAAGGTCCTGTTCCACAGACTGTTCCAAGTCTGTTCCTGCTAATGCTGCTCATCAGAATGAAGCAGCCAGGCTTTCACCAGGCCTCCTCGACGCAGCAATGAGGAGTAGCACTCCACCAATAATGCATTATAATGTTATACAATGATCTGATGAAACTGATTAGAGGTAACATAATGCCTCATGTAGTGTCAATAAAGCCTTTCCAGCAGCTATGAGATTTATGCAGACTAATATTTTTCCATGCCGTCTATCATTCCTAACCCGATCCCTCCACTGAAGGTTTGAGCCCGGCTGGTTTTCCATCACATGGAGTTGTGCAGAATACAAACTGGAAACCCCCCAGGTCAAAATGGGTGCCACCTCCTAAAGTGGTGGAGAATTGGAAAAATGGCAAATCCTCAGGGAAGAACTAGAGAGAGCCTGGAAGATGTATGCCACTGTTGGAATAACCTCGGAAACTTGGACTCAACACAGGTCAGTGTCTGGAATGTCGGGCTGATCACGACTAGTAGATAAAGTCACTGACTTGGTTCAAAGTCTAGTCCAATCCCAGAGGAGAGGAATCCGGCAGGGAGATTGTCAACCGTTTGCAGCCGTAGCCGCTTCCAGACCCCCGAGTGATGATGAGCTGACGCCAGCCGACATAGAGGGAGCAACAGAGTCCGTGAAGGGAATCCAAGCTGAGGTCAGTGAAACAGTCCAGGATTGGTAACCAGCAGAGTCCAGGAAAAACACTACAAAAACCACAGCTGGCAAAGAAGACAAGGGCAAGTCAAAAACTCAAATATCCAAAACGGGAAGCAGGTCAGAATCAGAATTATAGACAAAACTCACTTAACGATAGTGTTACTCTCATCACAGCTCGAATAATCTGGCGCCGATGGTAGGCTGGTAAACAACACAAACAGCTGAGGGAACGATTGGTATTTTTCAGCCGCCAGGCCAATAGACAGATTAGCAGGAAAATATAAAAAAGCCAACCATCAGGGCCAAGACCATGACAACTGTGGTCATTGGAGCACTGGGGGTCATAACCCCCACACTGGAAAAGTGGCTCCAATAGATACCTGTAGAAACAACAAAGATCTCAGTCCAGAAATGCACCATTGTAGGGACTCCTAAGATGCAAAGAAGAACCCTCAACCTACAGGCCTCTGGTAGAGAAGCCATCCGCCCAGTGGGAGAGAGATAGCAATTGCTTTTCGTTTTACTCTTTTTATTATAATATATTATATAATGTAAGAATGCTTCAAGGATTTGAACAGCCAGAGGTCTCTTTAATCTTTTTTGCCTTTCTGCTTGTGTCAAAATTTACATCTAGCATAAGAGCATAAACTGTTCTTAATATTATTGGTTTATAATTAATTAATTGAAGGTTTTATCCTACAAAACTATGTTTACCATTATTTCTATATTGATTAAATGTTTACATTTCTATCACATATTTTGTTTTAATGTGAAGCCTCAGTATTTTTAGAAATCCTATTTATTGACTAAACTTTTAGTATTCCTCACAAACAGTTGTGGTTGCATATTGTCACCACTAGAGGGCCACAAGAAACAGTTCTTGGTAGAATTAGTCTATCAAAAAAGTAAATTGAAGCTTTTGTATTATAAAAGAGGATTTTAAGTATTTCTAAACGTTACAAACATTGAAAATTGCATATAAATGATTTTTGTTTATATATATTTTATTTATACATCAACAACTGTGAAAGCTTTTGTACTGTGTGTCTTCTCTTTCCAAATTTGGTTTATTATGTGCAATTATTTTCTTGTATGTTATTTATCATTCAAATATTCTACTGATAAGTTACAAACTAAAACGTGCCTAATGAAAACACTTTCAAAAGTTGGAAATTTCTTGTTAGTATAACTCTTTAGTCATCACAAACATGACTTGCATTTTACTTTTGTCAACAATTCTGTCTTAGAAATCCTCAGCTATTCTATTTATTAGACTATTTAATATACATCCTACATATGTTTGCTATATCTAATAAAGCTATATTTGTTAAAGTAATGTATAAGGATTAAAGCAGTTAAAGCATCCTTTAAAACAGCAGCAGTTAAATGTGAATAACATATCAATCTTCTTTATTTTTGGATGTTTTTTTTTTATTTTTATTTTGAACTCCAGAGTACAGCTGCAACCCTGGAATTCTGCTGCAATTTTACATGCCAAATACTGTCACTAATCCTGCTTTTAATGAAATAAAGATTACAACAGTTAAACAGGAAGTTGTTTTGTTCATAAATCCAGAAATGTCCAGCCCAGCCCAGCCCAGAGACTTTATTATATATATATATATATATATATATATATATATATATATATATATATATATATATATATATATATATATATATATATATATATATATATATATATATATATATATATATATATATATATATATATATAATTTTTTTAGAAATAAATATTCACAGAGAAAATTTATTTCAGTCCTCTTTTTTAAGTATTTTTTTTATCCTTTGTCTTAAAACCAAATGAAATTCCCAGTTCTTCGCTCAATCTTAGAGCGTAGCTGTTGTCACAAAGTAGCTTACCAACTTCAGTGTGTGAATAATTGAAAGTAGTGTTAAGTTATTTTTGGTACTCATACATGATATAGTACTATACAAGTGCTAGGGTTGTCAAAAGTATCAATACTCTCGAAACTAGAGTAGTGAAACTATGGAATTGAGGGGGGGGGGGGACTAGGGTTGGTGGGCTTGACATTGGTTGTGGAATATGTCTTTATAACGTGGTATTCTATGTATTATTCACATATTCTATGTTTGAATGTTTGTTTTCAAAAACAATTATTTAAACATAGTTTAGTAATATATTAATATTTTAGTTGTAAAAGTATGTTGTATTTCAAGATAATAGATAAATAATGCAATACATAAAATAAGTACTTAATAAATCTTTGAATAATTAAAAGTTCACTTCGTTTATTTAAAGTTTGTTTTATAGAGATATTCATTTATTTAATGGAATATATAGTGACAATTTATTATTTTTATTTAATTAATTAATTAATTTAATATTCCATACTTCTATAGTTCAATTCAGTGCTATAGAGAGAGCCGCCTGATGTTCTTCTATGGAAGTAATTAATCAGATCAAGAACAAACAGTTCCCCTCTAAACCAGAGGTTGGCAGCAGTCATCCTCTTACCAGTTTGATCTTCAAACACAGGAATAAACCATTAACATCAATATAATAACATCTGCCAATCTGTGTGTAAAGATTATCTGAGACCTGATCCTTCTGAGGCACATAAAGACAGTAACAAAGTTGGCATTTTATCACCTAAAGAACATCTCCAGAATGAAAGAACTAATGTCTCAGCAGGATTTAAAAAAAAACAAATTCATGCCTTCACTTTTAATAGAATTGATTAGTGAAGTGGTTTTATCTCAGGTCTGCCTAAAATGATCAGAATGCTGTTGCCTGCTTCCCCAGTAAAGCTAAGAAAGAGGAGTACATCACCTTGGTCTGAAAGCTCTTCCACTTCATCCCTGACTTTCTTAGAAAAAACAACAACAAAAAAATATGTCTGTAAATCCCTGCATGGCTTAGCTCCAAAATACATTAGACTTGCAGTCAGTTTGTCCACCCTTGTTATAATGATTAACTTTTCTTAACAGTAATTTCCTTATTGATGTCAAGATAGCTAGATAGATAGATAGATAGATAGACAGACAGATAAATTGATTGATTGATTAATTGAAGATACAGAAGCTCCATTAAAAAACAATTTATTCTTACCTCATAAAAATAAAAAACAACAAAACATAACATATACATATTTACACATTTTGTGGCTATCTCTTCCATCACAGTCATATATTATAATTTATGTGGTTATTTACATATATTACAGTATTGTTTGTCTAGCTCAGCATATTTACTCATGAGTTAATAGTGAAAGGGCAACAGGATGGGTAAGAGTGAAAATTAAATCTGGCAGAAGCTGTGTCGCTCAACACAAGAGGCTTTATGACATCAGTGACAGCCACAGCTTCCAGCCACCATGTCATTATACTGCTTTAAAACAACGTTCTCATCGTCATCAAAGTACAGCAGGTTGATGGAATAAAGCTTGTCGGGCACGCAGCACGGCGTCTCAATGCCTCGGATCAGCTTCAGGGCATTGATGATGGACTGGACGGTGGCATGGTTGGTCGGCCTCATGTTCTGACCCAAAGGGAAGGAGCAGGACCCCTTGCAGTGATAAGCATTGTAGCCCCGGGGAGACACGATCCACCCCGACCAGCCAATCTCCTCGAAGTCCACATACAGAGGCAGGCGCTGGCAGGGCTTGGAGCGGCCTTCCTCCTCGCCGTAGTCCAGGGAGCGAGCGGTACGGGAAGATTTGATCGATGTAGGGGTCTGAGGGAGGAGGGACGTGGCAATCGCCTCATGGGGAGCTGGAGGAGAAAAAAAGTGAGATGTTTTAGATAAGTAACCATGATCAGATATTTGGTTACAGTATATTAATGTACCGAAAACACAGACAAAGTATTCATGTTAGTTAAAATAAAAAATTATAATGTAATTTTTAACAGTGGTTGTATTTCAAGATTAACAACAAAACTTTGAATAGAATTACAAAAAAATATATTCTTTCTGTCACTTGTTAGCTAGTTTTTACAGGATATTTAAGAATATATCAACTTAGTAAAAGGTCAGAGCTCCTGACTCTTGGTGGAAGCCAAGACATTTCTTTCTTGAATTTTAGATTTAAGTTTGTATCCAGCTTTAACTAAGCAACATGGCTACACTAACTTAGCAGCTACCAAGTCAGGGAAACTAAATATCCCCTTCTTGGAATAGGTCCTAAAATTTTTAAATGAGACGTTTCAAAGACAGTCATTACTAATAAACTACATTTGAAATATCTATATAAAAATGTCGTTTTCTAGTGAATAGTTTTCATTTCAGATCCTTAGAATAAATTGAAAATGTTTAGCCTGTAAATTGAGTTCACTTAGCAACACTCTTAATGATAAAGTCTACATTTCTGGTAAGCTTTGTTTCTTAGTGTTGACTTCTTTAATGTTTTTCCACTTCTAATCAACTCATGTACATAGTTGAATATTGTATCGTTTCAAAAGTTTATGTCTAAAGTCAATATAAAACACAATAAAATGTAACTAATCCATTTGAGTGAGTGCAGTTTTAAAAATCAATTCTTTGTTTTTTCTAGGTTCTGTCCAAATAAAATACTCCAATTTTCATTTGGCCTTTCTACGCATTTTCATATTTCAAAATCCAGCTACACAGAAAACTTGTGTGGTCCTTGATCTTGATTGGCTTTAAAAAATACAAGCCTGATAAAAGGTTACCTGAGGATACCACCCATATGCACAAAATAATCACTCAATGCTCGGCTCTGCTTCTTTTATCTAGAATAAAAACTGTCATCATGGACCTGAAGTCACACACGCAAAACAAGTCAGCAGCTGCTGCAAGCTGATTTTTCCTGCAAACCTCCATGTAAGTTAGAAGTTTCAAAGGCAGTCATCACTAAGTAAAATTAATATTTTAAGTAATATTAGCAAATCTTTAGGAAAAGCAATATAGTCTCTTCGTTGTATTCAGCGTTTATAAATGACATTAAAACTGATATAAATCTTACTTGTGCTCTCGAGGGCAGCAGAGCGACGGCCATCATCGGTGAAGAGAACCAGCATGGGCTGTTTGCTCAGGTGATGGTGGCGCCCTGAAGCAAAGCGGATCAGTTTCTGGTCCGCCTGGCTTCCCCCCAGGGTCCTGACCACCACATGGAGCCCCAAGTTACTGCTTTCATCTGCCATCCATGAGCGGACCTTTGGGATTTCAGTTAGAAAGCAATTTTTATTTTTATACACCATCCAGCTTAGGCTGAGGCTGGAAGTATTTGAGTTTCAGGCGATACTTACAGCTTGTGTGACTGTGAATACTTCCCATCCGGTTGAGTGGACTGGGATGAGTCTAGAAGACAGCAACTTCTTTGGCTGTGTGCTGTTTGTTTTGCTGCCATCCAGAATCTGATAAACGCTGACCTGAATGATGGAGAATTGAAAAAGCAACCAATGAATAAAACTCTCACTTCCAGAGATATATTCAAATCCTGAAGCTGCCAGTGTATCCCTGGGGTTAAGTTTAAATTGAAATTTGACATAATCAAAGAAAAACAGGCCAGCTTTCTTTATTAGAGAAAGGGAAGCTGGTGAGAGCTCATAAGAGGATAGATGTAGCAGAAAAAAAGCTTTTCAAGTGTTAACAAACCTGAGAGTTTGGCAGAGATTCACCCTGCAGTTTGACACCAACTTTAATTCTACATCTAGAGCTACAATAGAATAATTTTGTGAGCATATCCTGTCAGACTTCCACTTTAAAAGCCGTACCAAATTTTTAAAATGTCAACTTCAAAGATGCTCTACATCAAATCTGATTGAGCCTTAGCTAAATTTTGAAGATGAAATTGACAAAAGTCTAGATGTAAAAAAAAAAACAACAGATAGACTCAAAAGGGCAGGGGCGGAGCTAGATGGGGGCCAGGGGTGGCCATGGCCGTCCTTAGCCAATCATTGGCCACCCCTGTGGCCACCCCTACCATTTATTTCCCTCTAATACAGACAGTGGCAACTGTAACAGTCTCAAGTGGAATATTCAAAACATTTTAATTTTTCATACATTGATAATTATTTGACAACAAAAACACTGCGGTTAATTATGCACATCAATATACTAAAATTAAAGATGATAAATACAGAATTCAGGCAGAAATAGATTTTGTGTTTTATGGGGTAAAGAGAAAATGATGCATCTCTGCAAGTCATCTAGGATAAATAGATAAAAAACTATTTTAATAAAAACTCTTTAAATAATCAATTTATGTAGATATTAGTGCTTGCAAATGTCAATTTTATGCAGAATGATTACTGATAAAAGTAGGTAAGTGAAGACAATGGAAAAGATTCGCCCAAAACTCAAACCTGAAAGAAATTTATCCACTATACCTTAGAAAGCACGGATGTTTGAATATATCCGTCTATTAGTTTGCAAAGGCTGTGGGAAAGTATAGTTTGTCTTTATTTAGACAATATGGATGTTTTTCTCGTTAATTGTCCTGTTGGAAAAGAGAAGATTGACCCTGAGGTTTTGATGCCTATCCACTTTCAGCCACCCCTCAGTATTTATCAGTTATTGTCTGGACACCCTTAAAATTTTTTGGCTATGCCTAAGGGACAACACCATACAGCAGCTGGGCTCCTCTGCATGCAGTAATTGAATTATTGACATAGATGAACATACCTGGCAGAAGTGGTGTCTGCTGAATGTGAGGTATAATTGGGGTCTCAGCTTAAAGAGATGCAGCTCTGCTGTGAGGACCTTCTCACTTCTTGCCACAGAAGACAAATTAAACTTGAACTCCACCTGTTCACTGTGCACTGCAATAAAAAAAATCACTATAAGAACATTTAACTTTTCTACTCTGAATGTATTGAAGAAATAAAATAGAAGAAGCTTACATTTGTCAAAAAAGCTGCGCACTGTATTCCCCTCCAGCAGGTAGGGATCCTTGGTCACACCGTCCACATCAGCCACCGTGTTGTACAGATCCAGCATGTACTGAGGAGGCTGCTTGTACGCATGGACAGCAGGAGGGTCATCCATCCCAAATACTTCCAGGAGTCTTTTAATGGCAGCTGAGCGGACCTCGTCTGACTCTCTTTCTGAGGGGAAATGATGCGCAGGCCAGGATGCTGTGACCCACAGCAGAGACGCAGAAATGAGCGCAAAACCCAACATGTTGGTCTGTTTGAACGCAGCTTGGAGCTGGAATGACTCTGGAGACCCCGATGCTCCACTTTTTATATCAAATGGCCCGGTTCCCCTCTGCAGCCTCGGTAAACAGCAGTAAAGATGTTATTTGGCTGCAAATGTAAATCACCAATCAGCGAATGTAAAGGGAGACTAATGGCGGTGCTAACAAGGTGTGACCCCCGATTGGAGATTTGATTCAAGCCCATTGTCTGCGTGTCTGGCATAGATGACTCTAATAAACTATAGTCTGCTTTGGCAAAACAAGTGATCGTGTTCTTGCAGATGTGTTGCAGATGAAAAGTATGTATATTAACTTTAGAAATAAAAAAAATAAAATAAAAAAAATGAAGATTAGAGCAACATAGGGGCCAGAAGCTGCGGCGCGCGCTCTGTGGGTGGCCAGTGCGCCTAAATGAATCCATTAATTTAAAATAAAGGCTGCATTGTTATAGGTGGAAAATCAATTATAGGGATAAAGCTGCCAGTGTCACTGGTAACACTTGGTGATATTTACATAGCTGCCCGTCGAGCTACAGCTGGATAACTCTAGAGCTGACCAGCTCGAAGTTGGCTTCTGATTCACATCTGGACGGAGCTAAAGGGATATTCCACCAAATTTCACAAACTGCAATATATAATCAGGTCAAACGGGAATAAAATTAAAATGTAGTTAGGAAACAATCAATAAAATATAGTTTTATGGGATACATTTGATGAGACACATAGCTATACAACCCTGAGAAGTCCAAATCTGATATAATACATTCAAACTAATGGCAAATATACTTAATTCTGTCAATTGTAAAACCTTTACTTAGTTTATGACACACACACACAAAAAAAAACAGATTTTAAGTTTTGTATTGATTACAGATCACCTTTGGACACAAGTTTGAAAACTACAGTGAAATTTTGACTACATAATTAGAGTTTTATAAGCTCAACAGTCTGTTCTGTAGTTATTATTATCAGTGTGGAATATTTTGGGTCTAAGTATGGTATTTTAAGCTAGACCTAAAGTGGTCCCATGCTAAAAAAAAGACCAATAAAGACCAGTAAACAATTTACAAATCAAAATCTGTGTTTTTTACTATGCTTTAATCCATCTTTGACCTTTCTATGTATTATAGTTTTTAAATAATTTCAGTGATGCCCTTTAGCCAGCATGCATATGTGAGCCCTACATGTAGGATACTTGATCTAGATTGGTATTAGATAAGACCAGGTTCACAAAAGGCTACTTGACTCACTAAAATCCATATAAAAAAATCAGTTAGTTATCTTCTGGAGGTCCTTGCTTAGTTTAAAATGGCTCAACACATCCAGGATGATTAAGGTTATCTCTATCTACCCCAAGTTGTCCTCCACCAAACCTTGATTTCTCTTTTTCCAAAGAGACTCAAATTTATTTACCGTATATGTTGCGATTAATCCTTCAGGGTAATTCTGGTTCCAGTAGCTTATATAGAGTACAAAGAGTTAAAGCCAGATGCCATTAAAGATAAAAATACAACAGACAATTAAAAAAGAGTATATATAGAACATAAAGATATATATATATATATATATATATATATATATATATATATATATATATATATATATATATATATATATATATGCTCTATATAAAGTAAAGATAGAGCATAAAAAAAGAAAAAAAGTTATAATGTCCTGGAATATGTTTTCCTTAGATATAGAAATATCTGCACAGTAGAGAGATAAGTGAAGACTACATAGTAGTTGACTTGGGTTATTGCACTTCCATACTTGTTTCATCTACATCTACAAAGGTGTCGTAATAGATGTCTTGAAAAATCCCACACTGGCCCCATTTTTTAACCAAAGCAGGCCAACATTTCATTCTTATACTTTATATGAGTGTTATTACCTCAATTTGATGTCCAAGTGACAATTTTTCTTGCAGAAACCATTTTTTTTTTTTTATCATGTAGTTTTTGTTTTAGTACAAGTCACTATTACAGGAACTGGAAATGGCTTTAAGACTCTTATTTGACATACATCACAGAAAGCACGTATTTAGTTGCTGTCTAATTTCATGCTGCCCAGAATTTGTTAGCCCACAGAACTGAAGCAAATGCTAACCATAAGCATGCAAAAGTGACCATCAACTTCAAATTTTACTGTTGGATCATTGTGAACGTGAAAGGAATCTAAACTACATTTGTGCAGCTCTAGTTTACAATCTAACACATTAAGATTCATTAGACTTAAACTATATTATTGTATGCTGAACAGATATTCTTAAAACATACTTGGATGTGAAGGAAACCTTTTTTCTATTTGTAGAAATACAAAAAAGGAGCATTTTAGTTTTTAATTAAAAAAAAAAGGAAGCAAGAAGAAAATAAACAATATATGCACCAGTCACATGTTACTTTTAACTTATTACAGATTTCTTTTAGACTGATATTTATGTAGCTGTTAAGGCTGACGTAATCTCTAACTTCTTTTATTTAAGGAGGCAAGAACAAAAATAGTCTGATCAAGTTTCTTTGGTGGTTGACAAGAATTTTAGCTGAGGACTTGTAGAAAGTCTTCCAGGTCTTGCCAACTGTAGCTTTTATAAACCTGAAGAACATCTAAACCAGAGAAACACCTCCATGGGTTGTACAGATTTTTCTGTTCTTGGAGAGTATGCATGCTATTAACCTCACTTAGTAAAACAGAAAAGAAAAGTTGCCCAAAAAACTCGTGGAATCTAGGATATCAGTATCATTTTAACATCCTAGAAAAAACAAACCAACAAAAAAAAAAAAGAATTCTGTTTGTCTATAAATCCCTGCATGGCTTAGCTCCAAAATAAAGATAGATAGATAGATAGATAGATAGATAGATAGATAGATAGATAGATAGATAGATAGATAGATAGATAGATAGATAGATAGATAGATAGATAGATAGATAGATAGATAGATAGATAGATAGATAGATAGATAGATAGATAGATAGATAGATAGATAGATAGATAGATAGATGCATCAAGTTTAGAAAATGTGTTTCCTTCACTGTAATACACATTTAAGGGATCAAAGGTTTGGTTTTCTTCCTAGCGCCTGGCATTCAGGTCATAAAGAATTCTACTGCAGTAAAAACAGAACACATGACAAACAACGTGTTGCTTCACAAGCCTCTGACAAAAAGAGGAGGTTGTAAGTGCCTGCATGTGTTTTTTTAAAGACTGATATTTTATTCTTTGTTCTTTTTGCTTTAATGTAAGGGTTATTCTTTATGAGAAATGTCCCAAACCTCTAAGTTAGAGATTTAAAAGCATCAACACTAAAAACTCCCTCAGTTTTAGGTTGTAAATCAAACGCAAATATAGTATGTGGTTCACTTTGTTTTAAATAAAAATATTTTTTTAAGTATATAAGTCATTAATTCCTTTATCATCTTGTCAAATTCAATACTACCCTCTTCATTTAAAAAACCTGTGGTTAATTTTTCCTTCTTTCACTTAATTGAATCCTTGGAATAATAGAAAAAATCGAAACCAGTTAAAACATGAGAGGGCAGGTCAGCCATCAATGAAACCAGAAACTGGGACCATTTCTAAACATATCTTTTCATGTAAGGCACAATTTTTTATTGTATGTATTCATGTTTCATTTTTTACTGGAAAAATAAAATAAAAAATATAAAACACTAATGCCAACTTACACTCAAAGACACACTCAATCTAACATCTTTTACATACCAAGTGTGCAGAACAACATACACATTATGATCTTGCTTTTTTTTTTTTTACATTTTATTTACAAAATTATCATTTATACATATATTACATATTAAACAAGAACAACAAAAACAGAGGTTTGACAGATAAAGTTTAGTAAATCTGCATGAGGAAAGGAAGAGAAGTTGTCTTCCACCAGAGTGCGCTGTGTTCAGTTTTGACAAAGGCAGGAGGTGATGGATAGGACAGTGCGAATCTGTCCATGTGGGTTGATGAAGCTGTGGCTCTCATACCCCTTAGGAACACAGGAGCTGGACTGTCTATCTGACCACAAGAGACAGTTTTCCTCATCAGATGGACTCCTACAGCAGCAAAATAGAAATAAGAAAAATCTAATCAATACATTAAACCTGTGCAAAAATAAATATTTTAAGTATTTAGGCCAATAACAGACAGCTTTAGTGGAAATGTGAAGGTGAGGCTACTTTAAATATCTGTCTAAAGCTAAATCTCTATTTAGAAACAGTTAAAACATCATTTCTGTTGGTTCAAAGTAGTATAAAGAAAGTATAATCAGACCAAAAGTATTCAAAACATATATCATCAAAAGATTCTTTACAGTATAACTTTGTTTAATTGTTTAATAACCTACAAGTTGCATATCACTGTGAAGCAGAGCAGGAAACTACGGTGCTTAGATCCTATTGTTTTCTATTTTATCTGGTTTCAACCACAGACTTCAATGATTTTGTGGGAATGTGAAGTGATGAAGCAGCACAGAGCAGAATATATTGTAAGGAGAAAGAAAAATCATGATTTTAATGTGTTTAACTCCATAAAGTGTGGCATACTTGTGTATTAAATCCCCCTGTCTGTTTTTCTTCTTCTCATACAAGTCACTTTAATGAGAGCATCTTTAAACATTAATGCACAGGTTTTCCCACAGATTCTCAATTGGGCTTAAGTCTGGACTTTGAATGGACCATTAAATACCATGCATATGGTTTGATCCATCATTTTCCTTAAAAAAACTGCAGACTTGCTTGCTTAAATTCTAACAACGCTGTAAATCTTCCAGAGCTTTCTACCTGTTCTGTCAGCTTTGTCCTTTACACTTCATCATGCCGTTTGTTTACAAGTACTCCCTTAAAAATCCTATGAGGCTTTTACTGAACAATTGGATGACTGACTTAGACAGTGGAGGACTGTGTTATCTAGTTTGGTGACTTATGAAAGAATTCTTTGCACAGAATTTTATGCAAAAGCCTTTTAACCAAATTTTGAAAACCATGTCTCCTCTTCTTTTTCTACCTAAATTTGTGTTTCCGCTATGTATGCATAACATATGGTCAAAGTATTTATAAACAAATGAAAAAAAATCTAAACTATAGAAAAATTCTGGTGAAATTCTGTGCAGCTTTTCTCCTTCAGATGCAGGACAGAATACAAATATAAAGCAAGGATTTAATCCCCTAAAAAGACGACTAAGTGCAGAAGGTGTTAGAGCTTACAGGCTGTTGTTACAACTAGAGAGGCAGGAGAAGGTGTGTGTGTGTGTGTGTGAGTTCATACTGACCTGAGAAGGCATCGGCTTCCTGTTGTGCAACCTCCCAAACATCTGCCTACATCTATTTCCTGCAGAGAATTAGCAACACAGAGAGAGAGGGGAAGTCAGACCACAGCTGGCTGCAAATATTGACCCACTTTGAGCTGAGGAGCATCTGCTATTTAGAAAGATAAAAGCGCTTTGATTCGACACCTGCAGGGGCCATTTGTGTTTGCTACCTCCGCTCTCACATTTGGTGCAGAGAATCAGTAGAAAGCAAAAACCAAAACAGAAACAAATGATCCTCTTAAGAAAAAATATTTTCTTGTATTTTAGCAAATTTGAGAGATCTTTTTAGTTGGTTTTGCTCCTTAGTTAATAAAAAATGCTAAATTAAAACAAAGCAAATCTTTTTAAATTGAATTCCATGAATGAGAGCAGCTCAGTAACTGCTAAGAAGCTTTGCAGGACATAAAAACTAAACAACCAAAATCAATTATTATGCAGCAGCTTTGATACAAAAAGGATTCAAACTCAGGAACCACAGCAAAAACCACAGATAAGGGGAAAGTATAACTTTCCTACCTGTGTTTAAATAGATAACATAACAGAATTGCACATTTGCACATGATTTTACACAGTTTCTACCAGTTAGTCAGTTAAATAACTTTCTGCTGTCCTTCTGCACATCTGTGATGTTGCTGCATTTTTTAAATATCCATTACTGTGAAAATGTCCATAGCTGCATATTGGTTATTTATTCTCTTTACAGTACAGCATTTTATTGTTTATCTTTCAATTCTTCACTATTATTTTATTCTTACACATTTTTCTTAGGTCCATACATGTGTGTCAATTTTTTCTATCATCTTTTTGCTGCTGTAAACACCAGACAACAAATAGATTTTCTATTCTATTCTATTCTATTTTTCAAAATCACCCCCCTCAGTAACCTCCTTCTTTACAGTATTGTTCTTACATTGTATTTTTCTTTTATTCTTATATTTTAGTTTTTCATTTTTTTTTTTTTTACCTGTGTGTGATCTTGCATGCTTCCACTTTCTCTTTATTGCTGGTACACCCTAATTTCCTCTTCTGAAAATGTTTCTTTGTGACTTTTTTAATCTCCTTTCCATTTATAAAATGCTACTGTTGCCTATTTCTATGTTAATTCTTTCTCTTTGGGTCTGAACATCACTTTCTGGTGGTTTTCACACTCGCATGTGCGGTGCCAGCCTCTGAATTACCCTGCTAGAGTGCTGACTTCCCAGGATGCTTGTCTGATGCATAAAAGCACTTCATTAGAGTCTAGCACCCAGCTAAGGCCTCGTTTCCTCTGCTTCTCGATCACAAAGGCTTGTGAAGCAGGCATCTTAAAGGATAAACTTTGAATCCACCGTGCTATTCTTTTTTTTTTTTTTTTCCTCATCTCACTTACTTTGAGCCTCTCTTCTCTGACTCCATCTGCATGGTGGACTGTTTCATAGTAGTACTCTATGTAGGGGATCCTGTAGCAGCTCTCCTTCAGTTCACAGGCTGCCACCGTCTGGATCACATCCACTTTGTTGGGCGTTTCCAGTAACGCTGAGTCAAACTTTGTGGGGACACAGGAGAAACCACCTGGAAACAAACCATGAAGGAAAATGTTAACTGGAAAGTAAAGTGGTCCAAATCAAACAAAAAAACAAATCTGGGTTCCTAATAGGATTTTAACTAATTAAACATTTGAAGAGCCTAATTAAGCTGTACTTGAATAATTTTGTGTATTTTAAGTGCTTTTGAACAGTTCAAAACTGTTGGTTCTTAGGGCAAGATTAAGCAGGAAGATTATATGGGGCCCCTGCACTGAATGAGGTCCTTAAAGATTGGATTATATCATAACATCTCAAATAGATTGTAATTAATATCAACAATGTTAAACATTTGTGCATAACAGTCATGCTTTGGTAACCAAGGAGCAGAAATCAAAGGATATTTTCTCTATACATTCAAAGGTAACTTAATAAAGTTATTTTTTGTTGTGTATATACATGTAGTTTTGCTTGCTTTAAACTCATTTGTTTACAATACTCTATAATAGCAGATGGGCTGTATTGCTGGCAGGGAGGAGAGATTGTTAATATTATAGCATGGAAACAGAACATACAGACAAACAAAAAAAACATTGCATATATTTATTTTGGACTCATGCCCCATAAATAAAGGTTTTAAAATAGATAAAAAAAAAAAAAAAAACATTGTTAAATATGTGTGTTTTAAACTTTTAAATTATGAACACTGTATTTTAGAAGCACTGAATGAACATTCAGCACACATGGAGGTAATCATTTTCCCTTTGATTAACTCTGGTAAGTGGCCACTGTTTAAATAATGAAGAAGCTGTCTTTGATTTTAAATTTAATCATTAAATTCCCAGCATTCTTGGTCAATTAAGGCATCAACATTGATACTTTATTATTATTAATCACCAGATTAAGAATAGCAACACATTTCAAGTATCAAACCCAAAACCCAATATTTTGATGCATATGTTGTCATTAAATTCTTTTACTGATCATAAAAAAAGAGTAGAAATCAGGAGTAAAGGGGGGAAAACAGCTTATACTACTAAGTTCAATAATGATGATCTTTATCACTTTGTACATTCCACCTTAAGTTGGTATTAATCAATGCTGAGGAGCATTTTGGGGCTGAGGGTCTCGCTCAGGATCCATATGGCAGGCTGTGGGAATAAGGAAACTTACAGCCTTACCAGAACACAAGCGCCCTCTGCTGGTGGGCAGGGAGACCCAAACAATCCTTAGTATGTATTTTAAGGCCAGAATCTGACTGTATTGTCTCTATAGGATTCATCCTTAAAATGATATGTGTTGTAACTTGCCGCTATATAAATAAACTGAGTTGGAATAAGAATATTAAGACGTTTCCAGAAATGGTGCCTTATTTATAAGGGTTATTTTCTACAGTTAATAAAAATTAACAGTTTTTTAAACTTTGCCTTAAAGTGTTATTGAATGTAAATCCTGTATTGTTAGCAATTCGTGAGGACACAAGGAACATTTCAACTTGAGAATTGAGACAAAAAAAGATACAAAAAATAGTAAACAATCCAAAAAGTACAAGGTGACTTTATGACAATTGAGAAAACAGCCTTATTTCATTTTGTGCCATTAAAATAACAATACATGCAATATAATTTAATAATATTATTCACAAAAGAAGTAGTTTTATGTCTATCATTGTACTTTTAGACAACAGTGTTTACTCGTGTCTTCTTTCATTTCATCATGTTTTAACCACAACCTTCAGCTGATTTTATGAGGGCTAAATGTCATCAATGATAGATTATTGTGAAATGGAAGAAAATAATAAGAATCAACCCTCCATAACTGAACACCTCCTCTAGAAACTCAAAGAAATACATGGAAATTAGAAGACCAACTGAAAACCATGTTGTTAGTATATTGTATTTCATTATTAGAATATTATCATTGATAAATATTTCACTGTGGATTGTGATTATAATGACATTATTATGGTCATTATTTTTTATTCAGTATTAATAAAGATTTTACTGTGATAATGAATATTATGATCTATAGTAGATATTTTGTTGAGTTATGATTTACAAAATAAAGCTGTTATTAAATATTATCACTAATTAATACACGTTTATTTATTTATATTTATTATGATGTATTGTTAAGACACTTTATCCACTTGCAGTGAATGCTAAAGTTAAGCTGTGTCTGATTAAAGGGTTTTTGACCTGCTAAGTTTGCCTAAAAGTCTTCCAAAACTTCAAAATATGTTTTTATTATTATTATTATTATTATTATTATTATTATTTATGCAAAACGTGATCACTTCTTTTAATTTTAGGTAAAAATAAATATAACTTAAGCTTAAAAATAATAAAAGTTCATTTTATTTTCATTTTACTGATTAAAAAAGTTTAGATTGGTGTGTATTTATATTCAAGTCCCTTCATTCAGACCCCTCTAAATAGAAGTCCGACTCAATCTCTGTAAAACTCAAATTAAAAATCTAAAGAAAATAATCTGCCTTTCCAGCTAACCTGACAGGCAAGCCAATGAGAACAATCAGTAGGTTGGAGAAGCAGCCAGGAGGAGCTGCAAAGGTCCACAGCTCAGGGGAGAGTATGTGTTGACAGGACAATGGTAAGTCTTGAGTTTCACACCTCAGGCCTTTATGAGAAAGGAAAAAAATCCAATCCATGTGGTTGACAAAGCAGACATGCATGCAAGAGATAGCTCTGATCAGATAAAACCCAAACTGAAAACCTGGCCTACATTTTAACTGTCTGCACTGAACATATCTCCATGTCTACACTTGGTGGTGGTGGCATCATGCTGTGGGATTCCGTCTTTAAGCAGCAGGAAAGTTAAAATAAAGAGACAAAACGAGCAAGGAAAACACCATCCGACAGGAAAACAAGCAGAGATAAACCTAAATGACCAATTTACATTCAAGCTTGTGGTTTTAAGTGAGCGGAAATATGGAAAATGGGTGTGAATACTTTAGAACAACGCTTTTAAACTCAAGCACAAACCTGCTGCTCCTTTCGAGCGAGAACATCCTCCCACGTCTATAACCGCCTCGTACGGGGTTTGGAAGTAGTAGGTCCTCAAAGCGGGGACTCTGATGCACTGGCTTAGTTTGATCTCACACTGACACTCCTCGATCACCTCCACCTCCCGGGGCCCCTGGAACAGCAGCAGCCGCTCCACGCGCACCCCGGTCGGCTCGCACAGCTGGTCCGCCCCGCAGGAAGGCAGCCGGTTCAGGTGATCTGGGATCTCTGGAGCTGCCGGACCGCGAGTCCTCATCTTAAGGAAAATCATTAAACATGTCAAAACATGTTGCTGTGCTCATCAGCAGCCCGTTTGGGGAATTTTATTGTTAATATTATGAAACATGGGGGAAATGTATTTATACAATTTTCTTTCCTTTATATATTTTCTTTTTGCATTTTTTTAATATGCAGCATCAATATCAGATTTTCTAACAAACAATGAAGGATTCTTTAAAGATTTATTTTATGACAGCAAGAACAGAGTTCCTAACTTGTAATAACAAAATCACAATGCCCCCTTGTGGTAATAAGTGGGACTGCAGCATACCTTTTTGCTCCTTAGGAATTCCAGCATTGAGGAATGCTTTGAATATTCCTGATGTCTTGCTTCTTGCGATGATCTAGTGGTTATCCCGCAATGTGATCTGCACATTCCTACATCTACGCTGACAGGACTCCCTGAAATATCTAAGTACCCAGAAAGAGGGTCAGGGGTAGATATATGGAATAAAAAAACAAATATCTACTTCTTGCATGTGTGTTTCCTTACCTTGCCCGATGTACACAAAGTGACTCTGCCTCTTGCAGCACGCTCGCTGTGTAAAAAGGTTTCTGTGATCGAGGTGTTTGCTTAGTGTTCCACTCACTAAAGAAAACACAATACATGCATGGATCCATGCTGTCATTTTAAATGGAGCTGCATCTCAAACATTAACATTACATCTAAAACAGCTGTCAACTAAAGGTCAAGCTCATCCAAGCTCTCATTCTTTCTGTTTCCAAAAATTTTTTAGTTATATGAACATTGCAATTCCTTCATTCTAGGAAGATCAAATCATTTAACATGTATTTACTACTTTGTTTGGTTAAATAAACTGCTGCACTAGAACATCAGTACTTACATGTCAGGTGAAGCACACACAGGAAAAAAAGGAAAAGTTGGAGAACATCCATGACTCAACTGAATGTGCTCCTCAGTGCTGCTCTGCTTACTCCTGCCTCAGATATTTATAGGATCAAGCTTCTGCCTAAAATCTCACCACAAAGTCAGTCTTTAGTGGCCAGAAAAGGGAGAGCTAATCAAATTTCCATGCTGAATGCCTTAAAATGCAGGGCCCACTTCAAAGAGGAATCTCAGCGTCTCTGGGGTTTTTGATGCTGTTGTTGTTTTTGCCCACAGAGGATTAGATATGTTGACCAGACCTGAGCTCTCACTAATGAAGGGGCTTATAAAGGCCACAAACCATTCAAAGACTCAGCCTCAAAGGCATCAATCATCTCTTATCTCAGGAGGAAAGTGTTTAGCACCTCTGACTTAAAACAAAACTAGGTCTAAACACAAAAACAGGCTCAGCAGGGGGTGCGAGGCGTGATCCTCACCTTCACAAAACTCCAGCACCTTTGTGTTTATTCAACATGACACCAAATGGTCAGACCTCATCAGAGCCAGCAGAAAACTCTGCTCTTTTCCCTTCATCCACAAATCCTGAGTAAATCTGCGCTTGCTATCCCTTCCCCAGAGGCTGCACTGCAATGATATTTGAGGAAATGTTCAAAATTAACCAAAAAACACAACGATTATTAGTCTTATAAAACTATTCGTATACACTTCTAACATGGGTTGCTGCTAATTTGCTACTGGCTGTCTGAATAAAGCTTAGATATTATATTTTTTGTTTTTAATAAAAAATCCTGACAATGCTATTTTGATCCCACTTTTAACTCATTTATTATGGAAACAATGCATTTGTTTATAAAAATTTTCTGTTTTCCAAATATCCACCAAATTAAATGATTTTAAGAAAATTCTATTTTATGATCATTAGAATATCAATGTTGCTTACAGTTCTGTGAGCCACCCATCTTCTAAAAATAATTTCTAAATGTTTGTTTTTATATCTTTTCCACTTCAAATTATTGTAACATTTTTTTATTATGTCCTTCAATAAAATCCAAAATAATGATTAATATTTATTTCAGAATTATAGGCTGAAGTAGTTTTAAAAGAGTGAGCTGTTTAAATAAAAATAAAAAGAATAAAAAGATACATTATTTTTTTTGCCTTATACGTTATACTTTTTCAAGGATCCCTTAGGAGTTAAGAATATTTTGTAATATGAAGTAATGCACTTTCTTTCCAATCAGCTGCTACTTTGATGTGCTGATCTGACATCCCCTTTTATCTGACAGCAAACAACCATTGTGAAAGAAGCCATCAGACTTAGACACTTAGAGTTATGTACCTACTCTCTAGCGCTCTCTAATTTTAATTTTTTTCCAAAAGCTATAATACATGTTCCCCTTCCCTCTGGGCTGGCAGCTATTTCTGCAGTATTTTTGATGGAAATGTTTAATATTGTTTTGTGACCTAACTTTACTGTGTCCCTGTCCTGTCTTCTTGTGTGCTGCTTTTGAGTTTCTACATCATCATGTTTGCATGTGTTAAAAACCCAAACACCCAATGCCCAGTGTTAAGCACAGTAGAAGATCTGTAATGCTGTGCACCTGTTTTTCTTCCAGGGATTGCACTGATTCATCCGTGTATCGAATGAATCAGTGCATTTAAATGAAAGGAAAGTTGGACTTTACCCCAGGAAAGTGAAAGGTGGGTCACCATTGTTTTTAACATCATAGGGATCCAAAAATAATAGTCTGATCAAAACAAAAGCATGTCCGTACAAGTTCCCAGGGCAACCATTTATAAAACGCTTGAGTTAAGGATTAGGAGAGCTTTAGAGGGATGCAGGAGATCTAGAGATATTGTCCAAAACTTATGATCAAATATCACTTTCTCTGCAATAAAAACCTTTTCATAAACATCAGCAACATTTATTTGTTAACATTGATATTTTTTATTGAACTCTGATCAAATTCTTTCACTGTGAGACCATCCTACCGCAGTAAAACCTTTAAGGTATAGTACATAGTTTTGCATTGTTGAGATTAACTACAGAGAGAGCAATGGAGTCCATTTCTATTCCCTTTAGGGGATCCTCCACCTTTAAGAGGCTTTATTCAGCATTGCACGTGCAAAGATCTTACTAGAGCACAGATTATAATGAGTCACCTGCGACATGAGCAAGCACTTTATACAAGATAATATCCAGCGATAATCCAGTGGGAGCAGTCTGTGTGCAGCAGAGGTTGGCGAGAACTACTGGCGGGAGACATCCGCGTGCTTGTGCTGACTGTCTGGTATCACGGTCAGTGTCTGGGTCGCTAAACTGCTGCGTGACCTGGTCACAAAGAGGCCTATTCTTTTAATATACCTTTGTGTTAAGTCTTATCACTTGCCAAACCGTATCATTAAAGGAAAAAATATCTATTTTCTCTTTACATAGGATTTTAACTCTGTAATTTACTTTGTGGGTATTGTGCCATCAACAGCTAATTTTAATGTAAACCAAAATAAAATGTGATTAGCATAAGTCGTTATGAATATCCAAATGTGGTCATTTATAATTTGAGGGAAAATAGTGACTTAAGCCTAAATTAAAATGGTGTTGTCAAGCCGTCACCACACTTTTCCACCCATCCTATTATCAAAAAATAACTCCCCCCAAAAAATATAGCATCCTGACTTTTACTATCAAATTTGGTAAGCTAAAAATAGAATGGGGAATATTAATTGAAGATGATATATAATTAACAGAGGCTCCAGTTTTCATCTTTAAAAGAGCTGAACATTTTAATATTTAAATGGATGAAAGAGCACAAAGATAACAGAAATAGTGGATTAATAACCTGCAGCATTCATACAATAACTGCATATAATAGTTGCACATATATTTAAGATCAGGTGGTATGTTTATCTTAAGTTCTGAAGAAGTCTTCAAAGGTTATGTATTGTTTATCTGCATGGGAGGAGAACAGCACAGGAGGGGATTATAGGGCATTATGTAGTAGTTTTGGATTAATAACTCTGAGACTACTCTGCTAATCACACAGCTTGTGTAAAGGTGCCAGTGTACAGACGTATACTCCTGATAGGAAGCTGACTTTTTGAAAAAAGAAAACTTCTAAAAGATATTTTTCTGATGCATGCTCTACAATTTTCCAGTCAACCTTTCATTTTGAATTTTAGGTTTGAGAAATTTGTTTTCCTTTGTTCTTCACTGTATTTACTTAAATTGTGGAAAAAGAGGTTCCACACATCCGGATCGGAATCATGTATTTAAACGACAGAATTAATACAATAAACACCGAAAAGAGCAAGAAGAACATAAAAGGGAAAACATGTAAGTATGGATACAACTTTTAAACTTCCATCATTGCAGAAGGTATTTTATTCTAAACAATTGCAGTCAGAATGTATTTGAAATCACCTTTTATCCTGTTTTTCAATGTCAGGTTCCTATCTAAAGTCAAGCGTTCATCATGAAGAAAAATCACCAAAGGAGAACAGCAAAGTGGAGCGAAACAGAAAAGCGACAGAGGATGAAGAGTCACTGCAGAGGACAACCTTCGGAAAGGCAGTGTTCAATATGACCCACTCAGAGAGGGTGATGGATGATCTGACATGTGGACGGCGTGTGGGCTTTTATGAGCTGAAGGGACAAATTGGCTCTGGTAACTTTTCCCAAGTTAGACTGGGAATACATGATCTGACCAAAGGTGAGTTTTTGGATACTTTGGCAACTTTAGTGACGACTGAAGATCAACAGATAGATCTATGTCAGACGTAGAGCTTCTCACCCCATTACTGGGACCCCAAAGAAGAATGCGTGTAAAAGCTTAATACCAATTAAAATGTTGCATTTTTTTTTTAAATCTGGCCAATTATTTATATATACATATATATATATATATGTGAATTGAACTATTATGCAGAACAAAAGCCTTCAATAAATTAATCTTGTGCAGAATAAATAAATGATAATAATTCCATTCTTATTTAAGCTTTCTAAATGTGACGTCAGTGTTGTTACATAAGCGTAAAATATGTGAATATGGTGTAAAGTAAGCTTTTATTCAATAATATACTTAAACCTTTAATGTGAAACCTCCCAATCATAGTTTGAAGAACAAAACTATATAAAGTCTGCAGTTTATACAGGAGGGGTGTTCATTTTTTTCCTATTTCTACTTCCTGTGACTCACCTTTTTATTTTTTTATTTTTAGATACTTTGCACTGCTCAATGTCTGGGATCACGTGTTTGATGGGAACTCTTTAAACGCTTTAAGATTAATGCATAGACATCCAGCTGAGCTCAAGGAGACATAGATCCATCAGTCTGGGTCATTCCACATGTCAGAAGACATGACTAATCTCATCAGTCGGTCCCTAACTAATCCATAATGTTTACATCCTTGTCTGTCATGTAACATGGTAGCCATGTTGTGAGCCGCTTCATAAACACGTGCTGTTTTATGCATTTTATTAATTTAAGAACACTAAAATGGCAGGATGAAGCTTAATACTGATGTACAATTTTATGTGTTTTGCTTGATTGCATTTTTCTATGTCTTCATCTGATAGAGAGAGTGGCAGTAAAAGTCCTGGATAAGGAGCGTCTGAACAAACAGGCCCAGACTCTCTTTGCCTCCGAGATCAGCTGCATGGAGAGATTTTCCCATCCTAACATAGTGCGCCTGTATGAAGTGGTGGAAACATTTAACCGGCTTTACCTGGTGATGGAGTATGCCAGTGGAGGGGAGCTGTTCTCCAAGATCACCACCAGAGGACGCCTCTCGGACCTGGAGAGCAAGCTGGTGTTTTCACAGGTTCTCTCAGCAGTGAAGCACATGGTGAGTGAGACAGAAGGGGGGCAGAGTGGGTGTTGGCTTTTCTGGGAAAACGAAAGCAAAGAGAGTGAAAACAAAGTGCCAAACCAGTTCATATACCGACTTGCCTATGCTCTGGCATGATAATGTTCAAGGCCAAGTATTGTAGTCGTCTAGGACTGTGTGATTTACTGTGCCATGCAACAGTATTTTCACCAGCATCCAATTTTTTTCACATTACAACCATAAAACTTTATGTTTATATTGTCTGGGTTTTGTGTAATAGACAACTAGAAAAGGGAAATAAATGCATCTATCGCTTATCTATACCCAGTGGTCAATGTGGGACGGAGAAGAGTAACAGTTGGGAAATACCCTGAAAAGGTCAAAAATCCATCAGAGGACAACACAAAGATGAACAGGAAAGAGAAGACCGTGCACACACACACCACAAGGACAATTTAGAACAGGTGTGTCCACAGTCTGTTCCCGAGAGCCTGCCGCACTGCTTGTTTTAGACGTTTTTATGCTCCGGCACTCCTGATTCCCTTTGATTGCTGATTAACAGGCCTTAACTGTGTTTTAAGGGCTGGTTATACTCCAGCAGCGGTGTATCGCAGTGAGCTTGTCACAGATATTTTTTTTTAATGCCCAATACTGAAGAGTGGTCTGTGCTATGTTGTTCCACACCACAACTTAAGAGAGACAATCATGAACTAGCTGTGGGTCTAGATACGGCCGAGCCGGGGAGGAAGTGGGGGCAAGTTTGTGCGACAATGGAGGGACATGAGGGGAAAAAGAGCAGGGATCCAGGCAGATAAAGGGTCCCAGCGTTCTCTCGCACCTCGCCCTTCTAGCTGGTCCAAATTTTAAACAATCGCGGTCATAAAAACAAAACAAGCCAGTAAGGTACCAAACAGGAAATAGGCATAGTGTAGAGCGGATGTAGATTTGACCAATCTGAGGCAGATTTGGCCAATCTGTCTGTGGCACTGTCTGCGGTCACCTACAATTTTGGAGAGGTGCACCATAGTGTCTTCGGAAGTTGCGTGGGCTCATTTGCGTTCACTGTGACACACACACAAACGACCTGGTTTCTAAGTATAAACCAGCCTTAAATCAGCCTTTAGTTGTGTTAAAGCAGGGAACATTCTAAAATTTGCCCTTAAGGTCTGACATCGGACACCCCGGATTTAAAGAGTCCTGCTTGTCTTGTTTTTTGGAAGCTGGAATTCCTGGAGAAGACTCACACATGCACAGGGAGGACATGCAAACTGCATGTAGGAGCGAGCAAATGAGGATTCAAACCTAGTACGTTTTTACTGACAAACAGCTCTGCTACCGACTGTGCCAATGTCCAGCTAGACATTAAATATTTTGATTAATACATAGCACATTCATAATAAAAATCTCATTATGCTGTTGTCTGTTAATAATTCCAGTGCAAACGACAGCCTAAAGAATGATTAGTAAATAGGGTCTTCTTGTTTTTTTATAATCTTACAGCTGTTCTTAGAAAATATTTTGGATAAAGAAAGACAATAGAAGTGCTGTTTAAAGGAGTCATCAACCAGAAATCAGACTTTTTTTCCAAAATAAAATGTGTGTGTGGGTGTTGGGCGTCAGTTAAAACCTGCCAGATAATACGGAATGTGGAAGTGGTTTGTTTTTTGCCATGTGTAAACACTCTTTGTTCATACCAGATAAGCCCACAAGTGCGCACGCTCCCAAACACAAGATTCTGGCTTTGTTGATCTAATGACATCAGTAATTTCAGCTCCATAATATAAGCCATGCTTATCTCTCTTCCACCACCTGAAGTTGTGATGTTGATCTGTCAACATTACCATAGAGTTGATGTTGAAAGTAAAATAACCAACGTCACACTGATATTAAATGCTCCATTGTTGGTTGCAAACACAGAGAAGAAAACATTTCCATTTTGCCAGTTGACCAAACTACCAGTAAATAAAGTTCACCTCTGACAGCAATGTTCCAGTGATTCTCCCTGCAGCTCTTATTGTGTGTACTGCATATTTTCGCCTATTATTTTTTTGCTACTCCAACAATCAGGGACTCACCTGCAGTGCAGTTGGTAAGTGTTCCTGCTTTACCTGTTTTTTCTTTTGTAAGTCACCAGGAAACGTTTGGAACGATCCATGGAAACTTGTTAATTTTGCTAACACATTTCCATGTAATTTACAGATTTCAATTGTGTATTAATTTATTCGTTAATCTGCGAGGGGGATGTTTGTAAACTGCAAGTTTTTCTGTGAGTGCACATGTGTTTGGGCAAAGCAATGTCATATAAGGGAGATAATTCCTTCATCCACTGCTTCTACCTCTTTATTTTCTGATTCTGACTCTGGCTCAAATATAAGCCTTAATCGGACTGGATTTGATCTCTTGATTTTAGATTTTGTTATTGTTTTTTTAACGTATCAACGTGTGTAAAACCCAGCCAGCTCCCATAACCACTCTCACTGGAAAAACAATCTAGGAAAAAGTAAAAAGTTCCTTAAATTAAGTATATTTACCCTTAATTTGAGTAGGTAAATGAGACAGTTTGCCAATGGAATGAGTATTTTTTTTTCTCTTAAAATAAGATAATTAGATAATATGAACTTTAAATAAGACAACGCAATTGTTTTTTCTAATTTTAAGTGTAAATTGTCTTGTTCCATTGGCAAAATGTAACTTTTACCTCCTCTATCAAGGAACAAATGCACTTAATTTAATAAATAATTACTCATCTAGATTTCGATTTTTTCCAGTGCTGTTCTTCTTCCGACCAATCACCTTATTACAGAGCACATGAACACGCAGACTTTTAAGTCAAACTTTCACATTGCAAAAAAAAGGCTAAGTTTCCCACTTACCTCCTCAATTCAAGAACAAATGCACCTCATTGAAGAAAAATTTATCTAGATTTCGATTTTTTCCAGTGCATAAGTACTATCTAGAGAAAAGAAAAAGGGAGTTTCAATGAGTTGTACTTAGAAAAGTATTCTCCTCTCTATTAATCAGAGAATTGGAAGATAATTTCAGAAGGATTGTGTGTGTAAAATACCAGGTGATGACTCCTTTAAAATTTTCTAAAAAAGCCATATATCGGGGAGGCCCTGCCAGTCAGATCAAAATGGAAATTTTTGGCCTTAATATAATATGCTTTGTGTGGATGGATAAAGAAATGCAAGTTTCGGAAGTGAAACGTGATGATGAAACCATCGATCTGTGCGGCTGCCTTTCCTCTGCAGGTAAATGGATGCTTGCCTGGGTAGAGATGCAAAACAAACAACCAGGGCCATATTATTCTGATCAAAGAATCATCAGATCAATGATCAAATTAAATACAGACTTACACTGAGAACAGGTCAATTTCACTCATAGATCTTCTCCATCCATCATAACTGAGCTCGAGCTGTATGAAAGAAAGGACATAAAATATATAAAGTCTCTAAAGGTTTTTTTAGATGTAGTAGCATTAAATGGTGACTCTGATCAGCTTTGACCTGAAGACAAATGCTGACCACACTTCACAGGTTGGTTTATCATCCAAAATCCCATTGGACGACATTGAGGTTTCAGGTTGTAATGTGATAAATTTTGAAAAGTTTAAGAAAAAGTTTTAGTGCAATACATTACCTCCATCTTGCTTTCTGTCATATTGAGGTTTGATGCTCCTACAGTAGTTCAGAATGGAGCAGTTTGATTATATAGAGGTCTTTGCAGACTTCATAGCTATGCACACCCAGAGTAAGAGACCCCTAGATGTTGTGGAATGATGTAATGTGGGGCTGAGACTGAGAAATTTCTGACTGTTTAAATAAAATGTCTTTGTCTTCTCCTTTTCCAGCATGATAATAACATTGTCCACAGGGACCTGAAGGCTGAGAATGTGTTCTACACCCAAACCAACTGCATTAAAGTAGGGGATTTTGGTTTTAGCACAAGTTGCAGCCCTAATGACATATTGCACACGTTCTGTGGCTCTCCACCTTATGCAGCTCCTGAGCTTTTTAAAGAGAAAGGCTACATTGGACATTATGTTGACACTTGGGCAATGGGTATTCTGCTTTACTTCATGGTGACCGCCACAATGCCCTTTAAAGCAGCCACCACAAACAGGCTGAAGATTTGCATCCTGCAGGGTTCTTACTCAATTCCCTCATATGTTTCCAAGTCCTGCCAGGAGATCATAAAGGGTCTCCTGAGGCCAGTTCCTGTAGACCGTCTCAGCTTGGCACAAATCATGAGGAGCAGCTGGATGGCAGGCATCGAGTACCCCCAGGCCTACCCACCTTCCAGACCTACTCCGTCACACCTGGTCGAGCCAAACCACATCCTCACCTCAGAGGAGCTAAATGTGAAAGTGGCCCTGGAGGATCTTGGCATCAGTGCGTTTCATCTCCTCAACAACAGTTTCGACATAAGAAGCCCTATCACCGGGACTTACCGGATCATGCTGCATCGAATCCAGAAAAGGCGATCGATAGAGGCGTCAGGTTACACTCGCACATGTACGAGCGAGTCTCTGAACAGACTAAGATGGAAAGTCAGTTCCGAGAGCCTTCTGTACAAACGCCACTCTGTGGTCTGTGTCATCATGTAGCCTTTTCTTGGTGTTTGTAAGATCACATACTTTTATGTAAGAGAAGCTCTTCTTGTGATACTTTGATGTTTCTGAAAGGACACGTAGTGATTTCATGTGTTAGGAAGCCATCTGAGAATATACAGTAGCATGCTCCATGAACATATTTGGCCTCCATTTTGTCCACTAAAATAACATCCACAATCTTTGCAACTCAAGCTGCACTTTAATCAACTAAGCATGAAGGAAAGTTGTTGAAGGTTGTCAGTGACCCTTTTGAAATTCGCCCTTCTGTAAGATAACAGGAATCCATAAATATCAAAGCAAGAAAGTTTTTTTTATTCTTACATTCATGAATTCATCCAGCCATGTCTCATCCTTACCTGTATCAGCCTGTCCTAAGTTGCAGGAGTTAAATCAGTGGCCATCTTTCAGCAAATCTAAGAACTCCAGTTAAAGAATAAAATCTCTTCCAGAGGTACTAAAGTAATGCCAATTTATTTTACTGCAAACATTTGGTTTTGCGACAAAACATCATTATACATCAACTTAACAATATTCTGCTTTACAGAAATATCTTAGTTCAGCCATGCTGAATGCTTTTACCAATAAATGGCTTGTTTCAGATCATTAGACAACATTTCAACTAGATTTAAATCCAGATTATTGCTGGGCCACAAAAAAAAATCATAATGGGGTTTTTGGTTTGTTCTTTGGATCTTTTGTCTTCTCTTGTATGAATGTTCAATCCAGTCGTTTTTTTTCCTGTGGATAATAGCTCTAGCTTCTTTGAGTGTGCAAAGACTGGCTTTGTTTTTTGTTTTTTTACACGTTTTTGTCTTTCTTTCAACTAGAACATGATTTGGACATATTTAGCCGTGGTTTCCACTCTTAGACTGCTTAAATTTAAAGGTATCGTTGAGGATTTTCACAAATTTTTTTTAAAAGACCTGACCTCTACAATTGCAAAATGCACATGCATAAGCTTGTTCACACTCCTAAGAGGGAACACGAGAATGCAAGAGCGTGCACAAGCCCATTTCTCCCCGTGCACATTCTATTTAAAAGTTGCTGTTTGCATCGCTCACAAAAGCTTACTTTTCAGAGGATTTTTCCACTTTTTCAGACTCACCACCGGTAAATGAAAATGGGGATGAGCAAATAGGAAGGCCTTAGATCAACACATCACCAGAATTATTGACAATTAGGATGACCACTTATTTTGATGATCCATCTGGACAAAGAAAATCCTCCACTATAACTTTAACTGATTCCACAAGGCTGGCATATTTCAGGACTGGGTGTTGCTAATGGACTAAACCATTATCACAAATAATTCATGGGAAAATACTTTTTCACATTAAATCAGATTTATTTGTACAACTGTTTATGTTAAAATTAATTTGGAAATATTTTGTATTCTTAAAAGGCAGCGTTTTTTGATATTAAAGCAATCAAACAATATGCAAGATTTATGAATGGAAAAAGAGTAAGAGGAGTGTACATACACTATATTGCCAAAAGTATTTGCTCACCTGCCTTGACTCACATATGAGCTTAAGTGACATCCCGTTCCTAATCCATAGGGTTCAATATGACGTCGGTCCACCCTTTGCAGCTAGAACAGCTTCAACTCTTCTGGGAAGGCTGTCCACAAGGTTTAGGAGTGTGTTTATGGGAATTTTTGACCATTCTTCCAGAAGCGCATTTGTGAGGTCGCACACTGATGTTGGACGAGAAGGCCTGGCTCTCAGTCTCCGCTCTAATTCATCCCAAAGGTGTTCTATCGGGTTGAGGTCAGGACTCTGTGCAGGCCAGTCAAGTTCATCCACACCAGACTCTGTCATCCATGTCTTTATGGACCTTGCTTTGTGCACTGGTGCACAGTCATGTTGGAAGAGGAAGGGGCCAGCTCCAAACTGTTCCCACAAAGTTGGGAGCATGGAATTGTCCAAAATGTCTTGGTATGCTGAAGCATTCAGAGTTCCTTTCACTGGAACTAAGGGGCCAAGCCCAGCTCCTGAAAAACAACCCCACACCATAATCCCCCCTCCACCAAACTTTACACTTGGCACAATGCAGTCAGACAAGTACCGTTCTCCTGGCAACCGCCAAACCCAGACCCGTCCATCAGATTGCCAGATGGAGAAGCGCGATTCGTCACTCCAGAGAACGCGTCTCCACTGCTCTAGAGTCCAGTGGCGGCGTGCTTTACACCACCGCATCCGACGCTTTGCATTGCACTTGGTGATGTATGGCTTGGATGCAGCTGCTCGACCATGGAAACCCATTCCATGAAGCTCTCTGCGCACTGTTCTTGAGCTAATCTGAAGGCCACATGAAGTTTGGAGGTCTGTAGTGATTGACTCTGCAGAAAGTTGGCGACCTCTTCGCACTATGCGCTTCAGCATCCGCTGACCCCGCTCCGTCAGTTTACGTGGCCTACCACTTCGTGGCTGAGTTGCTGTCGTTCCCAAACACTTCCATTTTCTTATAATACAGCTGACAGTTGACTGTGGAATATTTAGGAGCGAGGAAATTTCACGACTGGATTTGTTGCACAGGTGGCATCCTATCACAGTTCCACGCTGGAATTCACTGAGCTCCTGAGAGCGACCCATTCTTTCACAAATGTTTGTAAAAACAGTCTGCATGCCTAGGTGCTTGAATTTATACACCTGTGGCCATGGAAGTGATTGGAACACCTGATTCCAATAATTTGGATGGGTGAGCAAATACTTTTGACAATATAGTGTATGTCCATATGACTTTTTTTTAAGGTTACATGTTAGAAATCACGAGTTATTGTTTTGAATGCGGTGTTAAAAAACTTGTGACACAGTTTGTTTTGTTGGAGAAGAGACTGTTATTCTGAAATTGTAAGCTTGGAAAATTATGTTGGATAATAAGGCTAATTTCAGTGTATTGCGTTTATATTTTCAGTTCTCAATAAAGACCTTGTTTGATCACTTGACAACATCAGCCCTCTAGCTCTGACTGCAGCAAGCTAGAGCTAGTTATGTTCACATTTTTACCTAAGAATTGGATATGAAGTCAATAAAGACAGGAAATGTTTTTAAAGTGTTAAATACAATGTATGACTATTTGAAATTAAAGTGTTAATATAAGAAAACGGTTTTCTTTTTATTTGACATTGAGAATTCTGTTGTAGCTGTTGTTGCTATTGAGAGAAGGCCATCTTTTGTCAGATGTCCCAAGTGACTGGGACCTAGGTGGAGAACCAATGCTGGTATTCTAAGTGAAACCCATAAGCAGGACCTTTTTCTCTATTACCAACTCAGGGCCTTAGATCTTTCTTATCCAGGGCTTGATTAAGCCGGGCATACACTGCAATATTTTCAATCATTGCATGCAGCTACAACTAAAACTGTACAATGAAACCGTAGGGTTAGTTCACAGCTCATGATGCATGTTCTCACAAAGTGCGAGCCGACGCTCTGATGCGACCTTACGACGGCCAGCTGAATTTCAAACATGTTTGATTCTCTCCTGACCTAATGATTCCTAATCGGGAGGTGGTTGTGAGAGGCTAATTACCCCATATTACCCAATGTTTACTACACGACACACGATCAGACTGAAAGCCGGCCTGATCGAAAAATTCTCGCACGACTGAAGAATCTTCCCGGAAAGGGCAAAAAATCTTACAGTGTATGCCTGGCCTTAGCAAAATGAACAACACTGAGTTGTTTTTGTGTCTGTGTGTACGGCCAAGTTTTTCATATTTAAAATAAAACAAAATTCATTTGGTCTGATACTTATTACTTACTGTTCTTTTTACTCAGTGTCTAAATTTTGTAGAAACCATGGTAAATAAAAGGAAAAATTAATAAAAGTTGAATTTAAAACATTAAACAGGCCTGTTGCGGTCAGACTCAGAGCAAATGATCGTCTTAGTGTCAAGTTTGGGTTGGTGTTTGAGGACCCAAATGCAGAGGCAGGGAGGCAGATGTAAGTTCTTGTAGTTTTAATGAGAGGAAACAGTTTAACAAAGGCAGGAGTCCAAAGTTCAACTTAATATTTAACACAAACCAGAACCATGGAGACATCAGGGGAAAATAATCACGAGGAGCCAGGGAGAGACGAGGTAGGAAGAAAGCAGCAACGACAGGACCAGCGACAACAAGGAACCAACAACGAGTGAGAGCAGAGGGAGAGCATACATAGCTGACAGAGACAAAGGGAGGGCTAACGAGCTGACAAGGAGCAGGTGTGAGAGGAGACAACGAGGAAGCCAAGGGGAAAGGAACACACACAAGAGGGCAACAGAGGACAACAGAAAAACATGAGAACTAACAAATCTAGATATTACCGGTACAACAAAAAAGGAATTAAACCAATAAAACTAGGAAACATAGAGCAAAGTAAAGCACAATAACAACAAGACCATGACACTTAGATTGGTTTACCTCTACCCACCCCTCATAACACCTACTTTATCCAAGATAAAGAAGGCAAAGGCCTCAGAAGAATTAAAACCAGAATGCATTTGTTTTATGTGATGGATTAGGAGCAGGGAGAACATTCTTTTGTGATCACAGTCAGTCATAAAGAGATTTGGGTGTTTTTGTGTACATTTAGGAAAAAAATATGTCCACTATACCTTTAGTGTTCAGTTGAATCTTTTCTAAATATACCACAATATTTAAGCTGAGTCATAGTTTTGTTTTTCTTTTTAGTTAAACTGCATAAAGATGGTCTCCAGTCCCAATGCATCAATTTGAGCTAACCCTTTTCCATTCTAATGTTATTCTACTATTATTATTTTAGATGGCATAAATAACTTTGTGGATGTTAAGTTTTTACATATGCATATTCGCCTCCCTGTATGTAGTATGATCTGCTCTTGGGAGTATGATCTGAATGCCCATAAAGGTGCCTAGTGTTCCACTAAATATACTCACTAATTAAGAATTGCACTTGCTTTGAAGATCAGCTTTGTGTATGTAAACAAGTTTGCAGATGTTTTAAGGCGCACAAACCTTTTTCAAGTTTAGGTCGGTTATGTGTTAACCTTAACTGTCTGTTTTAGAACAAACAGACTGGAATAAGATTCTAAACATAAAAACTGTTTTTCAGAATCTCAACAAAAGACTAAGTAACAAATAACTGATATATATTCTTCCAATCTCTGGAAATCATAGAGCAGATGAGAGCGGATGAGTCAACAGCAAGCCAACCTAGCGATGGCTATCTTAATAAACTAAGAGGACAGCATCAATAAGAGAAGCCATACAGAGATTTAGGATGACTCTTGCAAACCTGCACATCAAAAACTATGGTGGAGAATCTGTTGACAGAAGAACTGTTAGTCATTAATCACGAACTCGGACGATGTGAAACAAGAAAGTTATTGTTAAAAGAAAAAAAAAAAAAAGCTCAATTTGTGGTATACCTCAAGCCAATAAACACAGAGTAAGAAAAGAAACTTTACCCGGACCTCACCTGATATACACTATATTGCCAAAAGTATTTGCTCACCCATCCAAATTATTGGAATCAGGTGTTCCAATCACTTCCATGGCCACAGGTGTATAAATTCAAGCACCTAGGCATGCAGACTGTTTTTACAAACATTTGTGAAAGAATGGGTCGCTCTCAGGAGCTCAGTGAATTCCAGCGTGGAACTGTGATAGGATGCCACCTGTGCAACAAATCCAGTCGTGAAATTTCCTCGCTCCTAAATATTCCACAGTCAACTGTCAGCTGTATTATAAGAAAATGGAAGTGTTTGGGAACGACAGCAACTCAGCCACGAAGTGGTAGGCCACGTAAACTGACGGAGCGGGGTCAGCGGATGCTGACGCGCATAGTGCGAAGAGGTCGCCAACTTTCTGCAGAGTCAATCACTACAGACCTCCAAACTTCATGTGGCCTTCAGATTAGCTCAAGAACAGTGCGCAGAGAGCTTCATGGAATGGGTTTCCATGGTCGAGCAGCTGCATCCAAGCCATACATCACCAAGTGCAATGCAAAGCGTCGGATGCGGTGGTGTAAAGCACGCCGCCACTGGACTCTAGAGCAGTGGAGACGCGTTCTCTGGAGTGACGAATCGCGCTTCTCCATCTGGCAATCTGATGGACGGGTCTGGGTTTGGCGGTTGCCAGGAGAACGGTACTTGTCTGACTGCATTGTGCCAAGTGTAAAGTTTGGTGGAGGGGGGATTATGGTGTGGGGTTGTTTTTCAGGAGCTGGGCTTGGCCCCTTAGTTCCAGTGAAAGGAACTCTGAATGCTTCAGCATACCAAGACATTTTGGACAATTCCATGCTCCCAACTTTGTGGGAACAGTTTGGAGCTGGCCCCTTCCTCTTCCAACATGACTGTGCACCAGTGCACAAAGCAAGGTCCATAAAGACATGGATGACAGAGTCTGGTGTGGATGAACTTGACTGGCCTGCACAGAGTCCTGACCTCAACCCGATAGAACACCTTTGGGATGAATTAGAGCGGAGACTGAGAGCCAGGCCTTCTCGTCCAAC